GTGAGAAGAGCTCCGCTCTGAGCTGAATAGTTTATGTCTGCATAACGACCATGTTGTTTGGGCCCGATGCTATACTGGCGCCAGTGAACTCCGGGTGAATTTGGCATGCTATGTAAACTCTGTAGCAATTTTCAGCATGTAGCTCTCAGGTTCACCCTCACTTTGGTGGCAGGTCGTACGAATACCGATGCAGGAGGCTAGGGCTGTACACTCTGATGTATCGCCGATCTCTTGTTGACCCCATGTTGACGCATCGTATAATACATCCATTTGACCTGCATATTCTGAGTCTGCTTCTGCACATGTGCTCGCCAAGCAGCACTCGTGGGTACCGTTATAAGCTCGCAGCACCGTGTCTGAAGTGTATAGCTCATCTATGCTTCGAGCGTCGAATGAGGAATTATTGGAACAGTTTACCCGAGACAGTTGTCGAGGAAAAATCGGTTTCGGAATTCATGAAATTCCTAAACACCCATCTGGCGGATTATGGATTTCGAGAGCGCATCGCACCTTGAAATAATGTCGCACAGCCGAACTATTTTGATAGTGCGCTGTAGTGAATGACGTTTTGTTGGTTTCTACTAGCGATTTACAAGTCTTTTTTATTTGTCTACACACAGCATCTATGGAGCACTAGTGTTTTTTGATAGTTAGTCAAGTAATCAATCCAAAAAGTAGCTGCGCCTTTGTCGCCCCGATGGCCGTACCTCATAAAATCTTCACTGCTTCTTTCGCTAACCCTCTTCAGCTACCGGTTCACTCATCACTATTTTAGCTGATTCAAACAAATCAACTCTCAGCTCTATCTTATCACTACTACCCACTTCCTGTGTTCATGACTTCATCTACTGCGCAGGTCGCTTGTGCGCCACCCGTTAGGGCTCACTAGCGCTTACACCATTTACAGACACTGGCGAATTTTTTTCACGAGATGTCGATCAGTCTGTTTAAATGCAGATCGCAATGGGGAGCTGTGGCGCGAATTTCTGTGGATTGGTTGTAATTCATCATAAAGAGCGATCAAAATGAATGTGCGAGCCATTTTGCGATCACTCCTTGTGACTGACCTTCAAGAGAGATAGGCATCAGCAGTACGCCGTACCGACGCTTCGCTGCCTCGCAATCGCCACCGGTCGCACGTGGGCTAAGGTTACTGCGAGGGTTGTCCTGCCCTTACGCAGGTTCGAACCCGCGCCGCCAGATTACAATACAAGCACGTTACTTTTATGCTACGGGTCGGTCGACCTTCAAACTCAACGTTATCACGGCTGAACTGAATTCTCACATACGGACCTAGTTTTATTGGTCATACCGACAACTAGCGGGCAGATTTGGTTTCTTCAGCCGCCCGGAGCTGCACATTGCATTGGGGGACACAAGTTCATAACATCTTAGGTTCTGCATATGCTATGTAATCTGTGGTGTCCACTACACTACCAGAGTGCTTCGCTCAGACTTTCCTTTGGTCTATAAAGCTTAATACTTTCCGATTACCTCTGGCCGTTTCGGTCATCTATTCCCTTCCTACAGTATTCACGAAGCACCGGCCATTCCCACACCCTTGGGTGCGCATGTTATTGGTTAGTAGAAACTTCAATAACTAAATCGACAGGTGAAACCGATGACGTCGCCGTGACAGAGGCATGTAATTGATATGTTCGCTCACAGTTTATCAATCAAAGGTAGCTTAAGATCCTTGAAGGAACTTACCCATCATCAGCTTCAGCATCGTTGCTTTATGTAGTCTACCGTGTTGGGAACCATGAACCCACTCATGTATGACATGTGCCTAAGAAATGCCACGTGCCGACATCATTTGTAGCATTGTCGCTGCGTAGGTGCTGGCGACCTCACATCTCTCTAATCTGCCCTCAACTGGTGCTGATCGCATGGCAGCGTTGCGTCGATGCGGCGCACTGTTACTGCTGCTAATTCTTACTGCTATTTTCTACCCAGCTCAACTGCTTAACTTGTATACTTGCTGTTTTATCTTTGAAGCTTACTTAACAATGAAGTAACCCCACTGAATGCCACTCAAAGTTAACTCGTAAACGCCATCTATTCTGATGACCCATTTTATGATGGTGCGTAGCTTTCCGTATCGTGGTCGGTTTAGACCTTAGTTACCATTCGCTACTTTAGAAACTTCTTTATTCCTACATTTTTGATCACGTGTGTCGTTGGGCCACTCTTCTTGAGACATAAAATGTTTAAGACTTTCCGTCAGTGTGGACCAGTACATCTAAGTATGTTAGTTCGCTGTTTTTCTCCAGTCCAGTGGCAAAGTTGATATCCTCGAATGTCAATGAGCCAATGCATATTTTGTATGGAACCCGTCTGATGATGACAGACGTGTCCTCCATGTACCGGGCCCATAATTTCACTTTGATCAACAGTTTTGTGGTACGCTTTAGTTTCTGCATCACATCTGCAATAAGTCCTGATATTGGTGATCACATATACGTTCCTTTCAGTTGCTGGTGTACTCCAGGACCATATACCATGTGTGAACCGCCTGATCACCTCGAGACTTTAGGGTAGGCCTAATTAGATAATTTTCTTAAAAGTAGTGCGAGTTGGTTTTCTTCTGTTGTGATATTTCCTCTATAGTATCTTCACTATGCTTCATGTCAGGTTGATGTTACATACATCAATTGGGCCACAGCGACTTACATTTACATTAAACCTACTTAGGCCGAATAGAAAGTGTTTCCCTTTATTTGACTTGGTCTGTTTCGTTATTCTGATATATGTTCCGCGTCAATTTTCCTTCAAATTTTGTGTTGGTTCTTTGATATCCCCCCGTGTGACTGCGCTTGTTTTTAGTCTTGACAAGGGGCCTGCTTGTTGAAAAACCGTTACCTCGATCATGCTGGCTCAACTTAAGTCAAAATAAGCTTTATTTACCAACTGAGCACACTTTCAACCTTTCTTTTGCACTAGTCCTGCGGATATAGCAGATAATTTCGGTACAAAAAGGTCTTCTTAAATGGACTGGCAAATGATAAAAATAAAATATACATTCATTCAAGCTAACGTCCACGCGTGGCATCATTAATTTTCGTAGAGTTCACTAGAAGACGTGATGAATAAAGCAAAACAGCGTTATGAAAAGAAGCGGTACGAGAATACAGAACCTTAATTTTTGAGTTTGTAAATGACGAGCGAGTTTTCGATAACTCATCGTTTAGTGGGTGGTATGGACCACTTAAAATCTGCGAAGAAACTTTGCGACATGCATCAAAATGCTTGTTAACACTGAAGTCTACAAGAGACTCACGGAGTATCCCACTGCATTTAGTGATGAATTTAATCGAACGGACAAGAATTGTAGTCTTTTTGAAGAAGGCCAAGGAAAATAACAGGCTAGCAGTTCAACCAATGAGTGTGAATACAGGTAGCCACAGATTTATAAATTGAATAAAGTGGTACTGAAAGCATCTTGAGTCACAGGCATAACACTCCCAAAAGCGTTTGAATAATCCAGGAAAAGCAGACGTACTGCCTAACATTTAGCATCTAACTCAGATGCTGTTAAGTGAACGAGATAGGCCACTGCATCCAATGTGGTGCGTTTGGGTTTATAAGCAAACTGAAGCAACAGTCACTGGGGAGCTAGTAACAATTAAAGGAATAAGCAGTCGTTCTAAGACTCAGCATGACGGATGTGCAAGCAATGGGACGGATTTTTTGAGCTTCTTTTTTGGGACTGTCGTTATCCTGACGGGTCTCCAAATATGAATAGTGCCGCCGTGTAGGCAACAATTGAACAGATGTGTTAAAAGTAAGGTCAAGGAGTCGGTGCCCCCTTTTAAAAAAATTTGTGGTAGGGCATCAGCTCTTCCGGCCTTCCTCATATTTTGCCTCTTGAGTTCCTTGTAGACCTCGAGGTGTTGGAATGCAAATGTTAGACCAGCTGCGGAGGGTCCTAGCGGGCGAAATGAATGCAAGGAGCAGGCATTTTGTGTGGCAGATCGGAATTCAGAGTTGCATTTATCGACATCTACAGCTGGTAGCTGTTTACCAGAGCCTTTACCACAGTTGTTTCAAAAGCTGCTACAAATCACTGCAGTTGTTGTTGTTGCTGTTGTTGTTGTTGTTGTTGAATAAAATGGCATCAATATACAGGCTAATCAGTCTTATAATCTCAGTTTTTATGGCTGAAGAAAGTAATTTGACATGATCGTGCAGTTTACTTTTATATGTGTTCTTTCTTCTAAGTTTGTTGATTAATGGGGAGGAGAACCGGTCTGTCCTTAAATAAATTGTCTCAAGTGGGCAGCAAAGGTCGAAGCAAAATTTGAGATACTCGCTGAAATGCTCACATTGAACTGACAAATTGTCATTGTTGAAAACATCAAAATCAGTGGAGGACAACTTTGTTTGAAGTCTCGCAATGTGGGAGATGGAACATTCTCATCGCCTGATCGTTTTGAATGGTATATGAGCCCAATCAATGGCGTTTGTATTACTGCAAATAATAGCACATACGTTTATGATGCAGTTGATCGTTGCTTGGTGAGATGAGGTGCACGGTCCTCGTAACCACACTAGGCTCAAGCAATGGTTCCATGCATCCATTGTGTAACGGGAAACAGCCCAATCACCGCTATGTGTACGTCCGCTTCACGTGACCCTAGTTAGGCAGCAATGCTGAGGCTGTGCATGTTGAAGGAGTGTGGGTTGACTCAGTTAGTGAAATGTGGCCTCCATCCATGTGCCTCCCGATCTTATTCCTTCGAGTTTGCATTAGACATGGGTGTGTGGGTGGAGCTGTGCGTGGTGCAGCGCAATCCACCCATGGTTCCCCTGTAGGCGCAAGCGTCCTGTGACTGTCCCCATGGAGGCCGCAGTGACCGGCAAATGCGGAATCGGATGCTGTCAACCAAAATTTTTAATGGTATTTGTTCCTTTTCCTCAAACACTTCACTATTTAATCCACCTGAGGTTATACACCTATTTCTTTTCTGTTCACGCTTACATAATTCTCGTGTTTCCAGATGTAACGGATCCCGTGGGTGATGTTCGCAGGTTCATTGATCACTACGAATCCGCGTTTGCCCAATGTTCGCTGAAACCGGCTGACCCAGCTACATTACCAGACACATCCAGGGGCTCATCCCTCCGATCTCCTCCTTTCTTCGTTGGCAGCTACGCCGAAGCTTTGCGGGAGGCAAAGCGGACTTTGCGATTCCTTGTCGTCTACCTTCACATGGATTCCCACGAAGATACCCGCAAGTTCTGCCAGTGAGCTGACGTTAAGTGTCTTTCATATTAGCTCGTGTTCGTTCACGTGGTTTACTGCGGCGTTTTTGGTTTTCTTATAGTACTTTGAGCTACACTTCATGTGTGTCGGTTGATGCCCGACCGCTTTTGTTTTGCTCATCGCGGGCGATATCGCAGCATCGCTAGATGTCACACGACTGCAAATACCTCAACACAATGATGAAGCAGTGGCTGCTCGCTGACGATTAACCTGGCTACTCCATTCAACGCCATTTGTCTCAAAGAAGTACACTTCGACGGCGGTGGTCAGCTGTCACCTGGATCCTTCCGCGGTACCTTGTTAATCCCCACGAATGGGGAAACAGTGATCAGACTTTCTTTTGTCTTAGCCGATGGGTGCATTCACCACATTTATAGTCTTCGCGAGATGAGTGGCCAGCATCATATGTAAACTGGATATCACAGTAATCTTCCTTGGTTCGTAACTCACCATTGATATGTTGATCGCCACTGTTTGTGGCGGTACTTCTCTTGCCAGTTGGAAAAATTCCACGGTTTTTCAGGCCCTACTAAGGGTATATGTGAATCTCGTGAATTTGCCTTCTCCTACGAGGTTTGATATGCATATTCTACCTTCATTTCTCTACAACCTTTTCCTAGACCTGAGCAGGAATGACTGCGTCTTGCCTTATTCTGCTGAGTTTCTGACTATCGCTCTTAAAGTACGCGGATGTTCTATCTTTTCATTACTGAGTAGTAGGGAGATTTGATGTGCTTTTGGAGAAGACTCGTCGCAGCTAGACTCAGCCAGACAGCCATCACACATTCAGGAAAGCGCTAGACGACCGTTTCGTTCTCTTGGGACTCATCAATAGCGCGCACCTGTCGAATCCTGCCTGATCCGAACTCAGCGACTTATGCCACTGACTCGGGTTATGTCTGCGGGCCACCACAACTGACATCTAACTGCGAGTTAGCACGACCCATCCATCCTCTGTCATACATGTTCTGAACGTGCAGAGAACAGGACTGGCTTCTGAGCTACGACTTTCTTTGCAATCCGCCACCAATCGTGGTATGTAAACTGCTAACGTGACTACTGATTACTCTTCGTTCGCACCCAGTCAGCGTTTGAAGGCTTCTTAATCGTCTGACATCATGCTGTACGTCTTGGCTTGTACTCTAGGCCTTCCACGGGTAATCCCCAGTTATTTTCGAGAATGCCGGATATCAGTTCATTACTTGAGTATGGTGTGTACAGCGCTGCAGCGCTACTTCTATCACAGTGCTAATCAAAAACATTTCCAATGAGCATACCTCATGAGACTCCGTTTTTCATCACTGATTACCGCGAAGCGTTTCTCCAATGTGGTTGGAGCGCCGAGGGATAATACCAGTTGGTGTTTTGTGACTCTCTTTGACGTTTTAGATGTTGGAATCGAGACACCTACACTAGCTCGCATAGATTTTTCAGGTATCTATCTGCGCTCTCCCTGTCACATCTCGCTGGATGGAACCTCGATGTCCTATTAACGACATAACAACTTGCATCTTTGTTTAGGGTCTTTACCTGATCTGATGCTGGTATAAAACCAGTAATTTTCTTGCATTCTATCTCCTTTACCTATGTATTTTCCTTTTCTTTCTCTTACTGTTGTTTATGTTTTTGCTGAGCGCTTTTACCTTTCTATATTTCTTTTAGTGCCTTGTTACTCTTATCGTCTGGTTGCTAATTATCCCATCTGTGTGATGGTAGTTGGTGGTTTGGGTGCACAGAACCGATGCTGGACTGAGCGGATAAAGAGCCAATTAAGTATCACTCAGGTGAGTTTGCCACAAGTGCGTTAGTCGGATAGCTAACGCAGATTTGGTGCCACTTTTCATGAGTAACGTGGCCTGAGTCAGATTCAGTGTAAGTTGGGCCAAGCAGAGCGAACGAACAGCACATGCGGGCCAAAGAACTCGAGCACCCTAGAACTAGTCAGTAACGAGAAGTCACACTGAAATAGTAGTCTTACTCGGGTTGGGTGCTGACTGTAGGTACAGTATGTATAAACTTATTGTTCATGAATTGCAGGTTTGTGTTCACTGCCCAGACTCGGTCTTAATTCTCCAACGGCGACACTATAATGTGAGTGTGCCTCATTAGGTTGGTCAAATCTTAGCTGGCTGTGGCTATCTGAACCTATCACACTGTGGTATCATAAGACGTGATGCAAGCTTTTGTTCTACCTATAATGATATTTCTAACACTATTCTTCCACTCATCTTGACTTCCATCTCTTGTTGATTTCATCTACGCAATCTGATGCAGTTTCAACTTTTCTCCCAAGTAAAACATTACAGAATGAAGAAGTCATTCAGTTCCTGAACAATTCAGAGCAACTCCTCTTTTGGGGTTGCAATATCAATTCTCCCGAGGGATACCGAGTTTCCAAAACTCTTAGAAGCCACGCATATCCATTCATAGGCGTGGTTGGCTTAAGTAACCTTCCAGGTTGGTACTATATTTTCTACTTCCTTTAGCTTGTTGACCGTTTTGGACTTTTTATGTGCTTCTCTCCTCATCGCAATCTCTTTTTCAGCTCCTGATTCAATACCCTACCCGAGCACTATGACGGGATTGGCTCTTCTTGGACGGATTGAAGGAGCAGTTAAGCCTCAAGATCTTATTCAACAATTAAACAGTATTCTGAATGATCACCAAGATGCCACTCTCTCAGCTCGTTTAGACCGGTGAGTTAAAGCCTGTCGTTCTGCAATCATCTTGCTACAGCTATTCTGCGCATACACCACCGTTTTGCCGATGCTTGGCAGCTGTGGCGCTTATTGGGTCTTGCACCTATAGTCTGACCGCGATTGGATGCCGTCCGTTTCCGTGTGCGATTACCTTTTGCTCTCTCTGGTGCTAGTGTCCACTGGTGATTGCTCCTTGTACACAATCCTTCATATCTCCGCTCCGGGGGGGCATTGATCCTCGCTTGGGTACGGAATATGAGGCATTATACTCCCATCCATTGGACTGGAGTTAGGCCACTGCCTCGTATGCGATTAGAAACCTTTATAAATGGGTGCAGTAAACAGCTCTGTTGGCTTATTTTCCTTGATTACAGAGACGCTTCAGGAGGCCTTGATATTAAAATGGTGGCAATCCCGTGTGCTGATTGATACACATTTAAACTGGTAAGACCCTGTTACATTCTTGCCGCGGCAGTGTGCGTACTCTGTTATTACGTCAACAGAATATGCCACTGGGATTTGTCAGCTTAAATCTGCTGATGATGTTGTATTAGGCCTCCCACCGTCGTGACAACTTATATGCCTCAGTTAAGATAGGATGAGCACTTAAAATGGTTCTCTCTCCGTTGCCCTAATATATAATATCTTGTGATTTGAACTTGCCGACTATTGTGACTTCTTCCAACTCTCTGAACGTAAGCAATCAGCCGTACTCGATTGGCCAAAGTTAAATACGTCTCTTTCTCCCAACACTTGCTTTAACGCACGCATTTTTATGAAGGGTTTCGTGATTTCCCAAGGGGTCATGTACCGTCTGTCGGTAAATATACAAATTTATTTATTTATTTATTTATTTATCTCTTTTCTCCCTCGGAAGTAAAGCTGTTTCAAGAGTCAGGGGTTTACCTGCGCGTCTCGTGGGTAATAGTGCGAAATTTGATTTTGACGTAGTGGCTGATTCTATTGGCGGCAAACATTTTGATGTATCTGCATAGAAGCAATTGTTATCCTCTAAATTGTAATCTGACAAAGGTCTAACTTGCTTCCACGTGTGGAACATTTGGCGTTTCAGTCCCCATGCTTTATCGGAACATGGTGTTATCCTCTTTTACCTGTCACCCTTCATTGTCGACCGGAGGAAGCCGGCCCGTAGCCTTAAGGATCACAAGACTGCCTTGTAATCTGAGGGCTCAAGTTCGAGCCTGCGTAGGGACCGGTTGACCCTCGCAGTATCCTTAACGCGGTGGTGGTTGCACGGCACAGAAGCGTCGGTACTGCGTACAGGCGTACTGCGGGTATCTCTCTTTTCTTTCTACCGGAAGAAAGCTACCGCTTTGTTGTATGACTGTTTGCTTGACTGCCAATTGCGCACATTCTCCTTCACCTATTCCTTTGTTTGTGGCCAGTGCAACATCTTATAATTTCCACAGTGGCGGTGTAACTGCTTCATATGTATATATCTATATGTGCACGGTAGAGTCCATGGTGCGCTCAGGCTAGTGGTTCGATATCCGGACAGACCATCGACCTGCTGCTGCAAACCTTGTGCCGTGGGCTCATGTCCTGGACGCCTTGTGGCGATCACACTCTATTTCTAGCTGACAGTCAGGACAATTTCGCGTGAGGCGGTTCGCTGACTCGTGACACATGGCCCGCTGCCTTTCGGGTGCACATTTTTGAAGACTGCTTGAGGACCGGAGTCGTTCTCCTGTCAAGTGTGGACGCTTTGGCAGTATCCTAGTCCAACAAATAACTATCAACTGCGCCAATGCAGATAGTTCCAACTTGCATCGGCCGTCGCGCAGTGGCATTAGGGAAAGGGTCACCTTATTTGCTGCATACGGCTGTGTGGCTAAGCGGAAACATTTTACCACTGACGCCTCCATTCTTTCTTCCCCTACACATACTCTTCCCGTCCCCGTTCCACCTAACCCACTACTTCCTCCAATCCAGGTAATTACGCGTGCGATTGTCCACCACCGCGATCGTATGCCTCCCTACAAAGCAGTCAACATCGGGTCTTGGAGCGTGCGCACCCTACTCGACCGCCACACGAGTGAGCGACCCGAGTAACTTACTGCATTGGTCGCGATGGAGCTTGCGCGTTACGGGATTGATATTGCCGCATTCATCAAGACTCAGTTCGCTGACTAAAGCAACCTACATAAGGCTGGTGCTGGTTTCACGTTCTACTTGGCAAAAAGCGCCATCACGGCACCACTTGAATATGGGGTCGGATTTGCACTATCCGACCGCCTAAATGGCCAGCTGGAGAGGCGACTGACATCAGCCCACGATTGATGACTCTTCGCTTGCGACTTGGAATAGGTAAGTTTGCCACTTTTATTTGTATGTGTGGTTCCACTATGTGTTATTCTGACGACATGAGGGATCAGTTTTACGCCTAGTTATCGTCTGTGATACGATCTGTGTCGTGGAGCGACTCGCTGGGTGGTGTCAACGCGCGCGTTGGCTGTGTTGCGGCTTTGTGCGCAAACGTAATCGGTCCGTATGGAATTGGCACGACCAATGGGAACGGAGGCCAGCTGCTCTCACTGCGCCATTCACGGCCTGACGATCACGAACAACCGATTTTCACTGGGTGTGGGTGGTATATCTACTTGGACGCACCCGCGGATTTGTCACGTTCACCTGCTGGACTATGTCATAGCTCGCCAGCGTGTCATGCTTGAAATACGCATAACACTTGTACTGCATGGAGCTGATTGTGGCACTGATCACAAGTTGGCGTGGACGAAATTGACACATGTTTTCGTCAATCTGCGTATTGCACTTCTGCCGTGAACCGGCGCAAATTTAGCTTTTTTCCTAGATAATGCTATGATTAGAATAGATTTGAAGGTGACGAATACCCGCCTTGGCGATATCGAATCCATTGTTTCAGTGACCGACCTGTGGCACCACATCCGTGTACAGGTGATGTTTGCTGCAGAAGAAACCATGGGGCGCGCAAATTATAAGCGGCCAGATTGATTTGATGACAACAATGTGACCATTAGCGCATTGGTGTCTGAGAAGAATGCAGCATTCGCTGCACATTTGGATTACCCTGCTGACTGCGAGAGAGTCATTTTCGCATATTTCGACGGAGTTTGACTCGAGAGCTCCTTCGCTCCAAGAATGCGTGGTGAACGAAGAAGACGAAACACATCGAATGGTATGTCGAACGCCGCCAGGATAAGGAGTTCTTGGACTCCTTGAATGCGGTGCACGGACCCACATTGCAGCCGTTGAGGGCACTGCTCGATGCTACTTCAGACGCTGACTGCACACAGACTGCAGACATAATACAGATCTGGCGAAAACATTTCCATGTCCTGAACAACAGTTCAGTGATTGACTGGTTTGTTATACGGAAAGAGATGAATATGTGTCTTGTCGACACACCGCTATTGGATGTGACGCAGAGAACACTTGCTCAGCTGCGAAGTGGCAGGTGCGCTGGTGCCGACGGGCTACCGCCTGAAGTGTTGAGACACGGTGGACTCGTTTCGATGCATACGCTGCACCACTTGTTGCATTGCGTGTGTTTTAAAGAGGAATTGCCGGCTGAGTTGGTGGATGCCCTTGTGCTACCACTGTACAAGGGTAAAGGGAGCAAGCAATGTTGCATACGGGGTGTCCAACTACGGGGGGGGTGTTCTTTCTACCAAAACGCGACGGAGCAGAGGCAGATCTACAAATGACCCGGCTTCTCTCAACTGCCGCGGGAGCTGCGGACAAAAAGAAGCTCTGTCACATGTTCTTCAGGCGTGCTGCATCATGCATGATGTCCGCTGTAAACGTCATAATGAAATCGCCCAACAGATTGCCAGGCAATTGCGGCGCCGAAGCATTAACATTGTTATGGAGCCGAGGATTCCGACAGCCACCTCCTTCATCAAGCCAGACCTGCTTGCGGTTAGAAATTCTACGGTTCGCATTGTGGACGTGACCATCTGTGACGCGTACCGAATGGATTGTACTTATAAACTGAAAGTGGATAAATACGGATCAGGGGAGAATGCCGCAGCCATATCGCGATACATACGCGAACAGTTTCCTGAGACGACAAATATTGTTCACCACCCCGTCGTTATCAATAATCGCCGTCGCAACGAGACTGGACCTTAACGTGGTGCGACGGTTTGCATACCTCATTGACCCATTGAGCTATACTGGGTGATGCCTCCGAGCATCTTGAGAGCTACTCCTACCAGGTTGGTCAATGGTGAGAGGTCAGACAAACTCAGTCTTCTGGTCCTCCAGGTTGGGGGTTTGAAATGGGATGGCGTCCATTTCTGTAAAACTAAATCACTGCCACCCCGCTGCCTTGCGGACAGGCTTTTGAGCCAAAGGCTTTGGATGAGGACCCTAATCGTTCTCCTGTCTAGGTCTGGGCGCCCTGGCAGTATCCCAGCCCACATACAACCATGACATTCTCTTCAAACATAAATTTCATCCTGCATCGGCCGTCGCGCAGATTATCAAGGGTCGCCTTATCTGCTGCATACAGCAGGGCGGATAAGCGAAAGCATGCTACTGCTGGCGCCTCCCTTCTTTCTTTTCCACCTTTTTCTCTTACTCCCATCCCGGCCCCCATTACTAACCTTCCTTCTATAATTCCCAGCTTAATTGACAGCAGCCGAAGTGCTACTGGAGTAGAACCATCTGCAGCCACCATCCCACAGCACGTATCGGACGCCTATCGGCAAAAGTTCCTTATAAGGCCACGCTGTCCCGTTACCATGGCGACATTCAACGTCCGCACTCTAAGACAAACAGGTCAGCAGGCTGCACTCGCACGCACCTTAGACACACTGGGTGTTGATGTGTGTTGTGTGTCCGAAACTAGGATTAATGACCCTAACGGGGTTATTGAATTGACTGCACCCGGCTTATCCTCTCGTTATTGGTTGCACGCATCCGGAGACGCCGATGCGGCACTCACGGGTCAAGCTGGTGTAGGTATCATTCTCAGCTCCAAGGCTGAGTCATCGTTGGTTGATTGGATTCCGGTGAACAGCCGTTTATGTGCAGCCCGTTTGACGACATCAGCTAAGGTGAATTCGCGAAGTAAAACAAAACGCTGTTTGTTTGTGATTTCTGCTTATGCTCCCACGGACTGCAGTTCTAATGCAGTCAAGGACACTTTCTATCACGAACTGAACACGCTGCTACGCAGTGCTACTAGCTCAGATATTGTAGTACTTGCAGGGGATATGAACGCACAAGTAGGGCGTCTGAGCTCTTCAGAAGCTCAGCTGGGTGGTAAGTATGGACTTAACGCCGAACGGACTGACAACGGCGAGCGTCTGCTGCAACTGTGTGCGGAGCACCAGTTGTTTCTTAGTAGCACTGCTTTTAGACACAGTGGGCGCCGAAGTGCCACTTGGCGTCCACCTGTAGCTGGTCAGCGATGGACCCAAATTGACCACATAGCCATAAGTTACAGGTGGCGCGGTTCCATTCTGGATTGCCGCTCATACTGGAGTACCTGTGTCGACTCTGACCATGCCTTGGTGCGCTGTCGTTTCTCCATGAACTTTACCGGAAGGCGCACAAAGCGTCTCCCCCGATTGGCAACGGAGAAATTGTCCCAGCCCTCTGTCAGGCAAGCCTATCAAGAAGCACTGCATAGCGAACTCTCGCTGTCTTGTCCTAATGACACTGAACTTCAGTGGAATAGGATCTCGGCCGCTATGCACGACGCAGGAGCATCTGCTTGTGGCACTATCAGTCGTCATCGCACCAGTCACTGGATATCCGAGAGGTCCGTGAACCTTTTGGAAGCTAGAAGGCACCTCCCGGCTGGTTCTGAACACAATGTGACCAGACGGGCTATTAGGCGTGAACTAAAGCGGAGCCTACGTGCTGACAAGGAAGCCTGGTGGACCAGTCGGGCTCAAGAAATGGAGGAGGCAGGAGCAGTAGGCCATTACCGCAAGCTCTTCCAGCTAATCCGCACCACTGGTCCGAGGAAACCAGGCGTCAGTGAGACAATCAGGGACAGCGCGGGTGCGCTGATACACAATAAGGAGCGCCGTATGGCTCGTTGGGCTGAACACTTTCAAGATCAGTTCAGCTGGCCCCCTGCTCCCGGACCTCTTCCTACTCAGGTGATGCAGGACGAGCCATGGACGGTTAGTTTAGAGCCCCCGTCGGAGGCCGAGGTCCGAAACGCGATCACAGCCCTCAATCGTTTTCGTGCCTGCTGGCCCGGATTCCCTACCACCTGCACTATTTAAGGATGGAGGTGAGGTCCTCTGCAAAGCACTGACCTCCCTATTCGAACGTATCTGGAACGAAGAGAGTGTGCCGGCTAATTGGAGCGAATCGATTATAGTGGCAATATACAAAAAGGGCGGTCGCACAGACTGTGCGAACCACAGGGGTATTAGCCTAACGCCAGTTGTGACAAAATTACTGGCCTCGATTATCGTTCGTCGTCTCACTGCAGAACGGGAATCTCGGATTAGAGAAGAGCAGGCCGGTTTTCGCCCAGGACGTGGCTGTATAGACCATATATTTACTTTGCGGCAGGTGCTAGAGCAGCGCCACGCATACCGCAGACCGACAATAGCTGTGTTCCTCGATTTCAAGAGTGCGTTCGATTCAGTCGATCGATCGATTCTGTTCGAAATACTTGCGCGAAAAGGTGTTCCCACGAAATATGTGAACATCCTTCGTGCTCTATACTCGAACACTAGAGGCCGCGTCAGGGTCTATGGTGCCCTATCGGATAGCTTTTCGACTACAAGTGGCGTTCGACAGGGTTGCCCGATTTCCCCGTTTTTGTTCAATTTCGTAGTGGATTCTATCATGGAGTGTTCCCTTGCGGAATCTCACGATGTAGGTGTTGAAGTGCTGCCTGGTGAACGGTTAGTTGATCTAGATTATGCGGACGATATCGTCTTGCTTTTCGACAATGTTGAGGCGGCACAATCAACCCTGAATAGCCTGTCGAGAGTGGTCCCATTATTTGGTATGCACTTCGCACCTTCAAAGTGCAAAGTGTTGCTGCAGGACCACCAGCCACTCGATGACCCCTTGACGCTTGCTAACGAGGAACTCGAGATGGTTGATCAATTCAATTATCTTGGCAGCTGCATCAGCAATGATGGGCGCATAGAAACTGACGTGAGCTCACGCATTGCAAAGGCCAGAGCTGCCTTCTTGAACCTGCGTCATCTTTGGCGACAGAAGGGAGTTTCCCTCCGTCTGAAAGGCCGTGTATACAAGGCCACAGTGAGGGCCGTTCTGCTTTATAGTAGTGAGACTTGGCCCCTTCGGTCTGAAGATCTGAGGCGCCTTCAAGTCTTTGATCA